CTGCAGATTATCTCCCCATTCTCCTGAATATTTCCTTTGCTGTGCAGATTTTATTTTGATCTAATCACTTCTATTTTCATTTGTGTTGCTGGGCTTTGGGGGTCATATCTAAAGCAGTCATTGCTCAGCTCAAAGTCATAAAGCTTTTTTCCCTGTATTCTCTTCTAATATTTTTATAGTTTCAGGTCTTAGATTTAAGTCTAATCCCATTTTTATTTTTTAAATTTATATATATATATATATATATATATATATATATATATATATATATATATATATATAGTATAAGATAAACCTCCAGTTTTCTTTTCCTGCATTTGGGTGGACAGTTTCCCAGCCCCCTTGCTGAAGGGATGGTGCTGGCCCGTGGCATGTTCTTGGTGGCACAATGAGTTGCTCATAGACAGCATGGGACAGGGCCATGTTTTTAGTCCACTTTGTTTTTAATGAGACCATTTATATTGGGAGTAGCTACTGAGATGTTAAGACTTAAGTCTGCTGTTTCATTTTTTTGTTTTGTTTTGTTTTGTTTTTTTTTGCTCCTCTTGTTTTTAGGTTTTGTTCGCCAGGCTTCCTGTGGCTTACTGTCTTTTTGATACGTTTTGATAGTATTTTTAGGTGTGCTCCAGTAGTCTTTTGGGTTTGTGCTTGCGTTTGTGTGTTTTTAATCATTGCTGCGGTATCTCTGTGTCTGTATCTATATCCTTCTATCTGTAGGACTTATCAGTTAGACTGCTACTATCTTACGATCTTACTAGTTTGTGGGAAGAATAGAAACCAAACCCCACTCTAAAATTATTCGTCCTATCCTGTTTATAATTATTTCAGGTATTTCCTAACCATACTGTTCATATCAGACAGGAAAGTAGTTTCAAAAGGTCGTTTTGAAGACTCAGCAGGAAAGCAGAGGCCTTTTGCATTTCCTGTTTTTGCCTACTGTGTTCCTTCTTCCCTCTCTACATTGCACCTCCCTCTGCCGGCCGAGCTCCTGGATGTGAGGGGCAGCCCCTGAGAGCTCTCTGTGGGGTCTCTGTGCCCCTGCAGCTGCTGGAAAGGGGCCTTTGACTCCTGTTGTCCCCACTTGCTGCTGCCACTCTGTCTTGTCTTTGATTTTTAGACATTTAACCATGATGTATATTTGTGTGGATTTCTTTGGTTTATTTTGTTTGGGGTTTTCTCGTCTTCTTAAATATATGGTCTCCTTTCTTCCCTTCGGCCTTTGCATTTCTTGGTGGCACTGTCATTGTGCTTGCCATCACCGCTCTCCTTGTTAGTGGCTGTCTCCAACCAGTGTGGCACTTCAGACTGTTGTGTGCACTGACAGGGCAGTTCCTGGGCCGTGAGAGATGAGGGTCTCAGGACTGAGCTGTGGAAAGATGGGCTTCCAGCTTCTAAGGTAAGGGGGCGGCAGAGGCAGAGGCCCCATGATGGAGGTCTCTGGGGAGAAGGGTGGAGGGATGATGGAGATCTTTACCCTCAGAATCTATGGCTGTTGAGTCGGGAGATATGGACTCGGCTTGACTCTGAGAGAACAGGAAGCCAGTGGGGTCAGTGTTGCTTGGTAGAGCCCCTGAGAGTTGTCGATGAAGGGCAGAGTGGTGAACGGGGAAGGTGGTTGGGCTGAGCAGGTGGGGGCTGTGCGGAGACAGACAGGTGGGTGGATGGCCTGGAAAGGGTTCAGTTCGGTGCCTTGCCCATATCGCATGCAGTACCTACTGGAAATCCATGCAGCTGGCCCAGGGCCCTGCCCTGGGAATCTGGAGTCCAGGTGTGTGCCAGGCCAAGGCACATCTGTAGGCAGTATCTGCATGGAGTGGCACTGAAGCCACAGACTGGACAGGCTTGCTGGGTGTGGGTGGGGGGCTTGGGGGGCACAGACTCTGCCGGGTCCTCCTCTACCTCCTGTTAAGTGAATTAAAACATGTTCAGTCCAGGCATGGTCTGTGATCCCAGAGGCCCAGGAAGCTGAAGTAGGAGGATCGCCAAGTTCAAAGCTAGCCTTAGCAATTTAGTGAGACCCATTTTCAAAATAAAGACTAAATAAATTAAAATGGCTAGAGATGTGGATCAGTGGGTCAGCACCCCTGGGTTGAGTCCTCAATCTCCCTACCACTACCAAAAAACACATTCAATCCCAGGCACTGACGAGAACAGAAGAAGAAGCTTCTAGAAGGCCTGTAGGGGAGGGGTTCCAGGAGGAGCTGCCCATCCATTGTGATTCCAGGTGACCAAGCAGGGCAGTGGGCCCTTGCTTCCTGTTGAGTCCTTTTGGAACCCTTTTGTCCATTATTTTCTGATAGCCCATGACGCTCTGGGAGGATGGGTCAGTGTGCGCTGGGTGGGAGCAAGGCCTGGGACACCCTTGGGTCCCATGAATAAACAGATACAGCAGCAGACGGGCTAGGGCTTGTTCACCCCGTGCCTCAGAGAGATCTGTGGCTCCCAGAGATTCAGTAGGAGCAGAGTGTTCCCCAGGATCAAGTCCTGAGTCCCAGGAGACCTCATCTATCCATGGGACAACTCCTCATTCCTACAGTACACAGAACCTCTGTGCTGGCTCCCTCCTGCCTGCAGATGAGGAAAGGCGCTGGCCTGTGTGACAGATCCCTGCTGACAGCCTGGAGCCGGAAGCACCCCGGGCAGGCGCTGACCTACTTTCTCCTCCCTGGGCTGGAAACATTTATGTAACAGACGCCGCAGGGCCCTGCTGTCCCTGTGGTGGAAGGAGATGCCTTTAATTAAAAAGGAAGCACTAAGCCCTGAATTGGCCACAGCACGAGGGGTTCTTTGGACCTGGTGAATCAGCCTCAGCAGAAATGCAGATCTGAGAGAAGCGTTTTGCCAGGCTTGTCCGGGGGTCTCTGTGGATATTCGCACTTGTGCATTTGAGCAAGATATTCCTGTCTCCCTCAAGACCCTTCCTCCTGAGTGCCCTGCCTGGGCCTGGGCTCTGCTGGGACTGTGCACTCACCCTGGCCAATGGAGCTCTCCCCCGTGCCTCCCACCGGGCAACCAGCAGTCACACGAGGCTGTGTGCTCAGCACTCAGGTGCCTAATGAATTTTAGTCTTAACGTAGAGGGCAGCTTGTGACCCAGTGGACAGCGAGCACAGAGAGCACTAATGCGGAAGAATGGTTTTTAAAACCTCTTTGCTACGTAAAACCCGCATTCAATGCTATGTAAGCATAACCGGCAGTTGCTCTTTGCAGACCTCCCTTATACACCCAACAAGCTGTGTCTGTGCTTAATTTTTCTGTTTTCCTTCTAGCGTATTTTTTAGCAGAAATATTTTGATGAGGAAAAAATTTTGCCCCAACTCCTAAGCCCCAATCTCTCCTGTGTGTGCCTGTCTCAGTCCCCAGCTCCATCACATGGGGCTGGGTAGGTGGGCTTCATGGGGTTTTGTCCCTGAAGGATTGCCATGAGACATTCCTGCAGGTAATGCTTTCCTTTGGTGAAGACCTAGGTGTGCCGCTCTCTGTGAGGAGCTCCCAGTGCGAGCTGCAGCCTCGCCCTTCACCTTCCCAGCAACTGCCCCTCTCTTGGTACACACCTGGGCAGGTATGCAGGGAGCCTGGAGGCCTGTCACCTCTGTCCATGGTACCCCAAATGCCCCATTCTGGGCTCCATGGACCCTGGCCCAAATCCCCCCAGCACTGCATGCACCCCACAAACCAGCAGCCCCTACATCCAATAAGCCACTCTTTGCTATCAGCACCTGTCACTGCTGCCACCTACCTGACTATTCTCCAGGTCCTGTGGAGGCGCTCCATACCCATGTTCCATCCTGTGCCCTGCCCTATTTCCTCTCCCCTCTGGTGACCCCCACAGCCCCACACTGTGCCCCATGCAAACCACTTCCGATGCCACATTCCTGCACCTCACAGGCTGCTGGAGCGCGTGTGCATGCCCTTGCAGAGAGCTACTTAACCCTGCACTGCCTCAGGACTCTTCAGCTGCAGAATCAGAGTCCGGTCCCCTGAGGTGCCTCCACCCCACTCCTCCCACATCTGGCAGTTCCAGAATATCTCCTGGGCATGTGCATCTCTCACCCTCTAGCTTCTAGAATCTTTGCAGGACCCCGCTCCCTCCTCCTCGCTGCTCCACCAAACCCTTGCTTCTTTAATCCTCTCTGAGGCATGGCTGGGTAGCTCTGTCTTGTGCTGGGTGACCCCTAGAAGGGAATGGCACAGTGGCCTGTGGGGACCAGTGTTGGCCAGTAGCTCACTGGAAGGGCCTGGAAGCAGGTCACCACAGCAGCACAAAGCCATCATGTCCCTTTCCCATGAGGCCTTCCATCTTGCCACCAGTGATCCATCTTTGCTTGTAAAGAGTGAAATGAAGCCTTAATTTAGCCTGGCAGGCTAACTAGGAGTGATTGCCACAGAAAGCATATGATCAGTGCAGACCTGATCAGAGAGAGCATCTGCCGATGACTTTGGTCAGGAGATGCCAGTGGTTTGGCATCTCTAGTGACTGGAGACTGGGTCCACATTTGAGAATGAGTTTCAAGGACTGTGGGCCTGAGACCACAGGGACATTGGCAAACGTGCCCTTCTGGCTGCTTGAGGTGATGTGGTGGCCATCAGGGAGCTGCTCCCAGATGTGATGGGAAATGGTCAGAACTGAAACTACATGGTGAGCCATGCTGGCCAAGCTGAGAGCACAGGGCAGGCCGTCTCCAGGACACTCCTGGGTGGTCTCTGTACTCTGTGGCTTTGAGAGAGCTGCTCCCATGACCCTCTTCACAGAGACTTCAGTGACCTGCCCAGGTAATGTGGTTAGTCAGGTGGGGCCAGAACTAGCCCCATGGGCTTTCCCAGAGGCTCATGTCCAAGATGCCAGGCAACCTATGCCTCCAGGTGAAGCCTGATCAGCTAGTGGAGGTGAGGGCAGTATGTTCACTCCCACTCAGGAGGCTGGAGCCCCAGAAGGCCAGAAGGTTGTTCCTGAGCTGAGGAGATCTGCCCGGTGGTCAGCATCTTGCCTTCTCTTTCCAGGTGACGCCATCTGGACCCCATCCATCCTTCTTCACAGCACCCTCAGTACCTTAAGCCATCACCCCCATCCACATTTTGGGAGAAAGATGGAATCCAAGGTCTCTGAAGGTGGCCTGAATGTGACCCTAACAATTCGCCTGCTGATGCATGGAAAGGTACAGAGACTTTGTTGCTGTCAGAGAAAGGGGACATCCCACTGCCGGGGTCTTTGCTCTGTATAATATTTTTTTAAGTCTAAGCAATCTCAGACTTACAAAGCCTTACAAATACAGTCCATTACACTCTCCTGGAACCCTTCTAGACTACCTGGCAGCCTAATGCCTTGTCCCAGAGTACCCCAGGGCAAATTTCTTCTGAATGGCCCTCAGAGCCAGGGCATCCATGCAGATGTGCCCCGCCTGGGCCCTGCAGGCCAAGCAGTGTGTGTGGCACAGCCTTTGATGGCAAGGGGTCCAGGCAGCACTGGAGCACAGCCTGTCGCCTCTTTCCAGTCTCCTTCCACCTTTGACTTTTACTGGTACAAGTTTCTGTCCAGCGTTTTTGTGACGTGGCCCTCACTTTGGCTTTGGTGGATGTTTCTCTGCCATTGACAGGAATTCACGGCAGCCTTCCTGTCAGTGGGCCCAGATGTCACCACATCCCATTCCTGGTGGTGTTCACATGAGCCCCTGGGTTGGAGGCTTCTGCCCCGCTCCCTGTGCGCAGCACCCCCTCTCCATGGTTAGAAAGTCCCTGCTGGGAAGTCTCTACAGCTGCAGGCCTTCCACACACTCATTCATTCCATGGTCCACTTGGACTCGGGCCCTCTGCCTTATCCAATGGGCCACTTTTCCCTGTAACTGTTATGATCACTGTGGTGCTTGTAGGGTTCCTGGTCCTTGCCACTCCTACAGCACTGTCTCCCTTCATGGCTCATCTTTTCCTTTCCTGGTCCCCATTCTCGAGTCAGCCATGTCTCTAGAAATGGACTCCTTTGAGTGCACAAGAATATTTTGGAGGCTAGGATTGGGCCCTAGGAGCACTCCTTGATCCTGGCCACTGAGGGACTTACACAGAGCCAGGGAACAGACACAGTTCCAACATCCTCGCTCTGAATTCTCTGTCCATGTTGTCCACTCCTCCAATTCCATCCCAGCAGCACAGGGCTCATGGTGGTGCCTGTTCCCCCAGGGCCTGTTCCCAAGAAAGCCAGCTCCTCTTGTCTGCACAGTGTCTCCCAGAATGGCAGGCAGCACAAGGCTGGGCTCTGGAGCTGGTGGGGCTGGCAAAGCCAGCTTTGCAGAGGGCACATCCCTCTAGGCAAGCGTGGGCACTCTCAGACCTCCATTTCTGTGGTAGAGAGTGACTGCCTGGCCTCCTCCTGATGCGACTATCTGCAGGCCAGCTGCTCAGTCCCTTTCAGCTGCCACAGCTGCCAGCACACCCTCTTGTAGGAGGTGAAGTGGGCCTGTGACAGGAGGGTACTCCCATGCCCCTGCCCCCCTCCCTGCTCCTTCGTCCTGCATGCACGCCCTCCCCATAGCTTAGGAGCAGTGTGTAGGTTGGTGAGGAAAGTGAGTCAGGGTTTGAAAGAAGTCATGCTCCATGGCTGGAAGCCATGCTGGCCCTGTCTCAAGTGACATGCCCCAGGGACCTCTCTGGGGCTGTCCTATGTGCAGAGAGATACTGGTACCAGCCCCGCAACAACATGTGCCCCACCACCAGTTGCTGCAGCGTGTGCCAGTACTTCTGTTGGTGTTATGTCTTTTAAAACAGCAGTGTGGCACTGCCCTCTGGGGAGTCACAGTCAGGATTTCCTTGAGGCGGCAAGTGTAGAAGTGCCCTCCTGAATCCCTGGTCGAGAGCAGCTGGCTGCATCCTCCTCCTGGAGAGTCAGTCAAGCTTAGAGCAGCCCTGGTCTCAGACAGACGGACCTCTCTACAGACAGCCCAACTGGGCACTCCCTGCCCCCGCCATGTAGTCCAAATTCTCCCCTCTTGGGTTGAGAGTATGGCCCAGTGGTAAAGGCTTGGTTCCATCCCCCGCACCACGTAAATAAACGAATAAGTAACTACCAATCCCTCTTGTCAGGAGGGTGGATGGGTTCTGCAGCATCTGCCCCAGTATTGTCCTCTTCTGCTCTGTGACATAATCTTTCTGTGATTTTCTTTTTTCTACAGGAAGTTGGAAGCATCATTGGGAAGGTAATTGGTGAATGAACTCTGCATCTTTCAGGGTCTCTGTAAGGACACGGTGAGGACAGTGGCAGCCCCTGGTGAGGGCTGGCTCCAGCAGCCGCACAGCCCCAGCAGGCATTCCGCTCTGTGCTGGGGAAGCGGAGATCCCCGGGAGCACTGCCATTCAGCCCGTTGGCACCCCTTCCTGCCTCAGGCTGCTCCAACGTGAGGCTGGTCCCTGGTGAAAGCACAGGGGGAGGCATTCTTCCTTGGCCCTGGCAAGGCCCAGATGGGAACTTTGGCAGCCCCACCCACCACCCGCTGCCTTGGTGGCCAACCCATCTTCTGAGTATGTGACTCCAGGTCATTTTTGCTTGCATTCTCCAGAAGTTGGTGAATCTTCCTTGTGTTTCCATCTTTAAAAAGCAAGAGTCCCACAGGGAAAGGGCTGTGTGGAAGCTTGTTGCTCATGAAGGAGAAGAGCTGCCGGGCACTGCCTTCCCTGACCATCTCTGGGTCCCCATGTCCCTTTTCTCCACTGCCACTGTTCTACAGGGGAGCCTCCAGTTGACCATGTCCAGCTTTCTCACATGTTCTTCTGGAGAGGGCCTGTCAGGGAGTCACCACTCATGGAAGATGGTGCAGCCCTGCTGGCAGCACAGTCTCAGTGCCACTGAGTGAGCACACATACTTTCCCATCCCTCAGCTTCCTCACCTGAGATGATGGCAAGGTCGTCAGGGAAGGGCTGGCCCAGTGCAGGGCAGGATGGAGGCTGGCCCTGCTGTGCTGCAGGTGCCTCCCTCAGGACCCCACACAGCACAGGCAGCTGCCAGAACCAGGGACACACCAGGGCCACATGCCCCACACAGAGCTGCCAGTGACACTTTTCCTTGTTGTCTAAATCTCCATTCCAGAAAGGGGAGACTGTGAAGAAGATGCGTGAAGAGGTGAGTGTGACTTGTCCTGACAGCATCCTGTACCCCAGTTGGGATGCGGGAGGGTCTGGGCTTCACCTGTCCTGGGGGGCCTGCTCATCCCACCCATGTGCACTGGGATGGAAAGCCTGGCCTGGGGTGAGAAGGGCCACTCTTCCCTCTGACACATGGCATTCAAGAGGGTTAGATGAGTGGGGCACAGGCATCCTTATGGATGGCTTAGATTCCTTTTGTTAACTAAAGTTTCCCACTAACGGAGACTAGTGGAAAGAGCCCCACTGCTCAGGGCCAGACACTGGGCCATCTGTGGCCTGGAGAGCCCAGGTTGGTACTGCCCAGGTGGCTTTCAGCTACTGCAGCATTTGCTCTGCCCTTGCCCTAGAGTGGTGCCAGGATCAACATCTCAGAGGGAAACTGCCCGGAGAGGATTGTGACCATCACAGGCCCAACGGACGCCATCTTCAAGGCCTTTGCCATGATTGCGTACAAGTTTGAGGAGGTGAGGTGCACCTGTTTGAGCCTTCTGCCAGGCAGGGAAGGGCAGGCTGAGCCAGCTCCTAGGGCACAGGGGCCTGGACAAGGGCATGGCCCAGACCACCTAGCACATCTTCCTCTTACCTTCTCTGCCTCCCAGCTACTCTTCCCAACTCCTGTCCACCTGGTGAGGGGCCAGCATCCCTCCTTTCTCCCGAAGCCAGCTACTCGTAGCACATGTACTTTGGAGAAGCCCACCTCACTCATGGTTGCTCAGACCCTGCCCCTATACGTCCAGCCTGACCTCAAAACACACCACACTGACTTCCAGGGCTGCTGCTCACCCCCAGGCTGGGCCACATGGCCCTGCACCAAGCCCCACTGTCACCACCCTTGTCCTGCTACCCCACCACCACAGCCAGCCTCCCAGGAGAGTCAGTGTGGCTGGGCTCCAATATGGACAGACAGAGCTGGAGACATGGGGTGTGTGCTTGCCTGCTAGTGGAAGTGCACGTGTGTGTGTGTGGCACTGTGAGCTTTTGACGGTGAGTTAGAGCTTAGTGTCTGTGTGTTTCCACTTAGTGTCTTGATCCAGAGACGGGGATTGAGCCAGGAAATTAAGCTTCTCTGTCAAAAATGAGGATGGCCAAGTAATGAGGCAGACTTTGTGAAAATAAACAGGGAGCCCTCTGAGAACAGGCAGCAGTGTCCATGAAAGTGGCTATGGCAAGGGATTGGCCACCGTTTCTTGTCACAGGCAGGGCAGGAAAATGTTGCATTGTAGACTGAGTGTGGGTCCCAGGTGTGCAGCTGGTGGCAGCTGGGGCCTGTGAACTGGAGGTGACTCCCAACCATCAGAATCCCATGTGAGTTACTTAGGGGTCATATCTGCCTGCTCTGGCTGGTCCTGGGTGGGAGGTGGGAAGCTGTGGTCACCAGCCAGGTCCTGACCATTGTGGGCCAAAATGGCGGAAGCTGTGCTCGAGCTTCCTGGGTAGGCTGCTGCAGAGGTACAGGCCAATACCCTCTTGCCACTTGTGGCCTAGCTGTCCCCAGTGTGCAGAGCCAGTGTCTTAGTCTCCCCTTCTGGTCACTCTCGCCTGGGGCCCAGATTTGTTCATGCTCACCTGTGCTGGGAGAGTCATGACCTTTGGCCACTATGCCATCTCAGCTGTCCGTGATGAGAGTGGTTGCACTGACACACATGGGACTCTGGATAGAAACAGCCATGACCACTGTGACAGAAAAAAAAGTGGTGTGTCCCTGAAAGGTGCACTGGGTCCATGTGCCCCAGGGCCCAGGCTGCGAGGCTTGGCGAGCCAGTGGTGTTTTCCCTCCAGTGATGCGTGGCTTGTGCCCTTGATCCTCACCCAGCAAGTGTTAGCCATGCTGCAGATGCCACCATGACCAGCCAATAAGAAGGGTGCCAGCAGGTGGTCAGTCTGCCCTACCCCTAAGCACTTCTGCCAGGGTCAGTGGTGGGTCCGGCAGTCTTCTCATTGTGTGGTTCCCACAGGGAAGCACTGCTCTGGCTGTGCACTGAGCAGTAAGTCAGTTATTCCTCCAGAAGAGCTCCTGAGTGATGAAGGTGGCCTTGTGTTGGGACACAAATCTGAGTCAGAATTCCCAGCCACAGCAATTTGTAGGATCAAGGTCTCCATGCAGAGAGGTCTCATAACCCTCTTTCCGTGAGGTACATGAGCTACCAGTCAGTCTAAGACTAACAGGCCCTAAGATTTCCTGGTTTCAAAGGCAGCAGTGCTGGCAGAGTCACCTGGAGGCCAGGAAAGAATCGTTGCTCAGGACAGAGCTGAACCAAGGCTCTTTTGGCTGGTCACACACGGTCTGCAGACGTCTCTTCCATTGCTCTGTGAAGGTTGTTGAAGTCAAATTTAGACTAACCAATAGATTTTCTCACTGATCAATAGACATTTGTATTCCTAGGAGGTAGGGAAACTAGCAAAGTCACAACTAGCTGACTTATGTAGGGTCCCTTGCCCGTGTTTGTGCAAGTGGAAAAACCGTCAGCTACAATACTCCAGTATCTCAATCGACAACACTAGAATTACCAGGCAACAGTTACCATTATTGTTATCCTGGGGCTCTGGCAACCAGTGGCACAGTGGGTGGACGGTAAGATTGAAGACCGTGGTGGGATGTGGCATGATGTAAGGTTGACACTGAAAGCAGTGTGTTGGCCTAACAGATACCATATAGTGAAAAGAAAAGAGACGGGAGCCATCATCAAGGGTACCAGGCAGGGGCCTGCTGGAAGAGGAGGAGTGTGTGTTGCTCAGGTTCCCATCCCTGTGACAAGGACCTGAGCTGTCAACTTATAAAGAGAAAAGGCTGATTTTAAAGGGTCAACGATTGGGCAGAACCATTGCTTTCAGGCTTCTGGTGGGACATGGGCAGCATGTGGCCAAACAGTTCACCTAATAGCTGGGACACAAAAAGGAGAAGAGAAGGAGAATGAGGTCCAACAGTTTCCTCAAAAGCACCTCCCCAGTAACTTCAAACCTCCCAATAGGCCCTACCTCTTAAAGATTCCACTGCCTTCCCGCAACATTAAGCTGGGAATCAGGCCTTTAACACAGGGATGTTGGGTGACCTTTGCATTCCAGATGCAAACCATGGGAATTCACACCTGACCCTCAAAGGCTCATGTTCATCTCACAATTCAAAGTGCACCGAGTCTATCTCCAAGTGTCCCCCAATCCTTGACTGTTCCTTAACTGGCACAGGGTGAAAATTCCCATTCTGAAATGAAGGAATAGGGGAATGATAAGGAAGTATTGGGCCAAAGCAAGACCAAAGCTTAGCAGGGCAAACATTAAGTCCTATAGCTCTAGGTCTGGCATCCTAGGCATAGTCTGGTGGGATGTGGGCCCCAAGGAGCTGGGCAAGCCTGCCCCTGGCTTTCCTGGTTGCCGCCCACATAGCCTCTCTCCTGGGCTGGCTCTGCTTCCTGCCTGCAGTTCCCTCAGCAGTGTGTTTCATGCTCCTGGTACCTCTAACGTCCTGGGGCTTCCTTCCAGCTTGGGCTTCACTCTCACAGTTCCACACAACACCCTGATGCTTGTAGGGACTCCAACCCTGCCACACAGGCCTGTCCTCCCAGGCTTTCCTTTGAAATCTTGGTGGCAGCCTCCATAACACCATAATTCCTGTATTCTGCATGCCTGCAAAACCAGCAACAGGGATGATGCGAGGTCTGCTGCCAGCCTGAGCTGTGCCTGGCCTGAGGGCCTGGCTAGCTTAGGTAGTCCTAGATGGGAAGGGTTCTCTTTTCAAAAGGCTCTGCCTTGGAAAGTCTTTGAAACAAATTTGCACTTATACAACTCTGAACCTTTGATGACTAGGCCTTGCCCATTCTGAGATACCCTCCAGGCATCCTTCATATTGTCCTAGTGTAAAGCACTTGACTTTTTAAAAATTGTGTTAATCTCTTTAGCAACTGCATCCTCCTTGGCTAAACCTTTGCACGGTCTTCTTTTCTGGATGAACTGGAAGTTTTCCAAAATGTTTTGCTCTGTTTTTGCTCCTACTTACTATAAATTTGACCAAAAGCAGCCAATAATTCCCTTATTGCTGCCTGAATGCTGTTTTGCCTTGAAATTACCAGTATCAGATAAACTAGTCTGTCACCATTAAACTCAGTCTCATACAAAGTCTCAGGGCATGAACAAAATATAGACAAGTTCTTGTCTAGGATGTAACACAGGTTGGCCATTAGTCCAATTCCCAGTAGAGCTGTCATTTCCATCTGAAGACTCATCAACCCAGTCTTCTCAATCTGCGTTCCTATCAGCATTCCGGTCAGATCCCCAACCAGAATCAGCCATTAAACTCCCCTTAAAGCATTCTAGTCCTTCTTCAGTCTGATTATTCAAACTTCACTAAACTCTTTCCCTAAACCAATCCCCAAAGATTGTCCACTTCATCAGTTATCATCATAACAACAGCCCCACTTCTCAGAACCCATTTTTCTGCTAGTAAGCCTTCCATTACCGTAACAACTACTTGAGAGAAATCAACTTACAAAGAGAAATGGCTTATTTTAGCTCAGAGTTTTGGATGTTTCAGTCTACGATATGCAGAATTTTTGCTTTTAAGCCCCTGGTGGGTTAGGGGAGGTGGGCAGCATATCATGGCAGAAGCAAGTGGCGTAACAAAACCAAAGGCACACCCACGGTGACTTTATACTCCCAGTAGGCCCCACCTCTTACAGGCTGAGGACCAAGATTTAACACATGCCCCCTTGGGAGACCTTCCAGATACACATTATAGCAAATGATTATAAGCAAATAAAAACCAAAACAGAAATGAGAAGGTGTCCTGGAATGACATCTTAAATGGAGACTGTCCACTGTCAACAACTTTCTATAAAGGGCTTGGTCTATTTCTGAAGGGTAGCTGTTTCTAGAGGCACTCTGCCAAACCAGTATGAGTCCTCCCTGGCATGATACTCTGAAAGGTCCCTAAGGACCCATTGAGAGTCCCCTTTGGTGTGTCTTTCTAGAGGGTCCCTACACTGTGAGGCCCTCTTTGGAGTGATGGTTTAGGGTTTAGAGAGTCTGTGAGGACCTAGTATGAGTCCCCCCTGGTGTGAATTTCTAGGGGGTCCACGAGACCCCAGTGTGAGACCCCCTTGGAGTTTTTTCTGGAAGACCCCTGTGGAGCCACTTATGCTGATAGGCCTCCGAGTGACTTCCTAGGGTCTGTGGACTGCTGAGTCATGGTCTTGGGTGAAGTTGTGGAGCTCCAGAACCCACAACCTGGAGTCTCTGCTGCGTTTGTTCCCAGCAATGCCGTAGAAGTCCCCTCCCAGTACGGTTCCAGAGCAGCTGCTCTCTGGTCTTCTGTTAGGAGATAAGCCCTCCTGATGGAAGATCATGAAGAGGGTGTTTGGGAAGCAGCCTTGCCCTGCTGGTGATGGGTGGGAGTATGGGTCCCTTACCATACATTGCCATTTCTGCCTGCAGCAGGACAGAGCCTAACATCAGGGTGGAATCCCTGAAGGCC